TTAGTAAGTAGGGTTATAAACAAGGTAGCTATAGTTATAAGCAATGCTAGCCCCAATTAAGGTAGTTATAAACTTACTAGCTAAGTCCCATGATCCTCCAAGTTTACGGATTTAGGAGCCGTTTGGTGTTTGCAAATGCTTGCTGGAATGCACTGTGTCCGAAGAGTCTGCGCTGAATCTCGGTTTATGGTTAGAAGGCTTTGTGTTTATAGGGCTCAGAAGGATTAGAGTTTAGGGGGTTTGGGTCTGGTTCAGGACCTTAAGCTCTAAACCCCAAGTCGTAGGACCGTCAGATCCCAACATAAGCCCTAAACCCTAAACCCTAAACCCTAAACCCCGTTCCGAGGCTTAGGGTGTCAGGGTTTGGGATTTCGGAGTCTCAGCTGCAAACCTACTGATCCCTGGTCAACATCCCTAGAGAAAAGCAAAGTTGCAGCTTAGGGTGGAAAGAGTGACCATTCTCAAACATGGCACCCCATGTGCTGCGGCTGATGCTGATAATGATCTGCTGTCAGCAGGTTTCTTTGCAATTCCGTGTGGAAACCTGCTGCCCAACGCGTCACTATGCCCGGATTGGCATGATGCTTTGGGGTACCTTTTCCTTCTCTGTGGCTTGCTCCTTCCACCTTCTAGAAAACCTAAACCCTAAACTCTAAAGTCCCTGAACCAAGGAATGTACCGTAGAACCGGTCGCGGAGCATTGCTGTGTCTGGTACATTTCTCACGGAGCTCGTTGACATTTCGTTCAAGCGCTGTACTAGAGTTTAGGGTTTAGGCTCCTGAAGAGCCACTGTTTTAGGTTCAGGAAGGCTCTAACTCTCACCACCATATAAACAACTGTAAAGCCTATGCCTATAACCTCCCACAGATCCTCTAACCATTACGCGACCCTCTAACTTGCGCGCTCTCAGAACCAAAACACGAACACTACTCTTAACACTCCCCTGGAGCACTGCCGTGATAAAAGACTTCTTAATCACACCCTAAACCCTAAACCCTAAACCCTAAGCCCCGTCTAAAGCTAAGCTGTTTAGGGTTTAGGATTTAGGGTTCATGGTAAGCCCTATGAGACCCTTGAGGGTTTTTCGGGCTTCTTTGGTGCATGGAGGCCCTCATCCACCGACAACAAGCTCTCCGTGCTGGTTGCGACGTGTCAGCCGCTCTTTGGCGCCTCGGGTTGCGGTTTAGGGTTCAGGGAAAGGATTGACGGCTTGCAGGTTTTGGAACCATTGAAGCTAAGAAGTTGTGAAACACTTGAGATTCAGGGACGCTAGATTGACTACACTGCGGGGTATGACGAGCTTGACGAGCTTCGCTGCTATGTTGATTGCGTAAAAAGGTTTAAACATTTCTTGCCCTGGACCACATGTCTACAGGTACCTTTAATATTAAATTAGGAGCTTTGAAACTCCATTGGCCAAATCCTAAATTCCTGTTAGTGTCTAGGATCCTAAATACAAAGACTACAATGCAGACTATAGGTGACATCATTCAGGGAATGGGGATCCCGTTCGGCGGAACTAACTGCAATTGTTGAGGTGGGTCGGAACGACTTTAATGAAGGTCTCGGGCTAAAACGACTGAAACAAGGTTTTGGTCTTAATCTCTGTTGGCCAAAACTGGTTCCCTCGACTTCCATAACCATGATTCCCAATTCGGCTGCTGCTGCTGCTGCTGATGCTGCAGCTACTACACTGCTGCGGCTACAATAACGGCGACGACTACTACTGCTATGTCTGCTACTACTACTACTACTCCTCCTCGTCCTCCTCCTCCTGTTGCTGCTATTACTAGGCTAGAAGCACAAACGAAAAGCTGTATCCCGGATTTCCATCCTCAAGCCCTAAACCCCCTTAGCCTACTCCGGGAGTGCATCCTGGAGCGGGCTCAAAAGCCTGATGATTAACTATATTCCCTTCTAATCCCCATTTATAGTCATAAGATACCCTTCTAATCCCCATTTATAGTCATAAGATACCCTTATAAGTCATAATATTCCTTTATAGTCCCCTTGCAATCATACACTACAATTCCCCAAGACCCTATTCAGCCGAGCAGCGATCTCGCGATCTCGTTGGCCGCCTGGGCTTGGCATCGAAGGCGTCGTAAAGCCTCGGTCTCTGAAAAACGAAAAAATTGCTTAACATGGGAGCCTAGGTAGTTAGAATAGAGTGTCGGGGCCCGTTATACTATAATTTTGATAAGGAGCCCCCCAAAGTAGTATTGGCAATAATTTAGGCCCCTACATTAAACCCCTAAACCCTAAACCAGGTTTAGGGCTTAGGGGTCTAGGGTTGAGGACGTAGTGTCAAACACCAAAAGCACGAATCTCCGGTTAGGGTTTAGGCATCATACCGAGGCGCGACTCGAACTTCTTCGTCTCTTCGTAGATCATGCCGCTGTGAACCCCTGGCAAAGGGGACTATGAACCATGTGAGGTTTAGGGTTTAGGGCATTCCCTTATCCCGGAACCTTGCACCTGGAATCTGAACCTCTGAACCCTTAAAGCCTAACCCCCCTAAACCCGAAACCGTACACCCCGTAAACCCTAAACTCTAAACGCCCTAAAACCCTAAACCCTCCCCAACGGGATCAGGTTTTGTCGCTTTCCAAACATCGAGCTCCGGGCTTGCATCATTCCAGGATCCCTTAATTTTTGAGGAATTTCGCTTAAGCCTTGAAATATTATAGTGGGATCCCTAATATGGTTAAGGGTTTAGGGTTAGGGTATGTTCCTTGATTGCAGGATTTGGAAAGGTCTGGGGGGTTTCGGGTCTGAGGTTCTGGGTCTCGATCGCGCCAAGCTCGCCAGACCCATGGTGGGTTGAGAATAGAAATTGTATAGGGTTCGGGTCGGGGTGTTGACCGAAAGTTTTGAACAGTTTCTTTTTTCGCTTTTGATCTAGTTTGGGGCTGAACTCGGCCAAACTGGGCCCGGTGGGGCTGCTGGGACTTTTTGGGAGGCTGGGCTGGACGTGCTTCGGGGGCTGGGGCCGGGACGGGGGGGTGGCTAGGCGTAGTGTTGGCTGGGATTAGAAATTGTATAGGGCTTGGGTCAGGGGTTTTGAGCGAAAGTTTTGCGCGAAACATTTTGAGCGAAAGTTGGTTGTTCCGTTTTTGTTTCAATCCCTAGCCGTGGTGACCTGGGCTGTGGCGGGGCCGGCTGGGGCTGGGGACCCAGGCACTGGCGCAGGAGTTGAACTGCGAAGTTGTTGTGTGGGTCGTGGGCTTGTTTGCTGTTGTGATGTTGCTTGTACTGTTTTCCGTTAATTGAACGGATTTTCACTAGTGACACCATGCAATTGACAGCAGGAGCTGCGCCGTCATAGTCTACAAGTTCTGCTTTTCCTGGTCTGCTGTTTTTTCAGTTCAGGGCTTGTTGGGTTTAGGGTTCTGACTCCATACCCCAACCTGACCCTAAACTTCGTACGGAAAACCCCAAACTGTATCCCTCTGGAACCCTAAATGTGTCTATCCCAAGCTACTTGGAGGATCATGGGACTTAGTAAGTAGGGTTGTATATAAGGTAACTATACTTACAATAAAAGTTAATTATAACTCCAATTCAGGTACTTATAGGGGTGGTTTACTAAGTCTGGATGATCCTCCGAGTAGCCTGACCCCTCAGCCCGCTTGATAGTTCGGGGTCCTCGGGCTCTTTGAGAGGCTTTGGGCTTTCGGGCCTGACGAATATGGGCTGCAGCTTTTTGGCTTTTAGGGAGTTGTGGTGCCTGTGGTTTTAAGGGCTTTGTGCTTTGTGGTTTAGGGTTTGATTTTTGTGGTTTAGGCCAAAACCCTTTTCCCTCAAGCAAAATAAAATAGAAGTTGTATGGTGCAAGCAGGGCAGGGCAGCAAAAGGTGCAGGCAAAGCACAAAACCATCAACACCGGCAGGCTGGAGCAGAGCAGAGCAGAGCAGGGCAGGAGGCAGGAGGCAGGAGGCAGGAGCAGAAAGCAGCATGATAGGGAGGGCAGGGGCAGGGCAGAGCAGGGCAGGGCAGCTGGAAAGATGGAAAAGCAAAAGCCACCCAGCCAAGGCGAAAAAAACAGGGCACGGCAACGCAAAAACACAAAAACAATCCTATCAGAAAACAATTTAAAGGAAACCCACCCAAAACCCGAAAATACACCGCACCCACAACCGATATAACTCCTATATACCCTCAACCCTAAACCCTAAACGGACCCTGCGTTTTGCTAGTTTTTCGAGTACGTCCCGGTATCAATGCCGATGCCACAGGAACTCCGAAACCGCAATAATCCAAAACCAAGCAAACCAAAAAAAAAAAGAAACCAACATCAAAAACAACAAAACCCCAGGCGAGATCCAAAAACCAAAGAAACCAAAAACACCACAGAAACCAAACACAACCAACCAAGCAAAAAACAAGAAAACAAAGAAACCACAACCAAAAAACACAAAATCCCAGCCGAGATGCAAAACCAAAGAAACCCCAAACAACAAAGACACCAAAGCAAACAAAGAAACCACAACCAACATAAAATCCCAGCCGAGGGCCAAAACCAAAGAAACCACGTTGTTGGTTTGGGATCTCGGCTGGGATTTTGTTTGTTTTTGGTGTTGGTTTCTTTGTTTCTTGTTTGCTTTAGTTTGGGATCTCCTCTGGGATTTTGTTGTTGTTGGTTTTAGTTTCTGTGGTTTTTGTTGGTTTCTTTGTTATATTTTTCTTTGGTTTTGGATCTCGGCTGGGATGTTGCTTTTTAGAGTCAAGGGTATTGACTACCTCGTAAACGACGGCTAACGTTACCGATGTAGCCATCCGTCAGGGTAACAGATGAGCAACCCTCGCTCCTGGCGATGAACGCGGTTGATCGGTTGGCGATGGCAGGCTGAAATGCAAAGGGAAGCATCGACCAAAGGAAAAAGCTGCTGGAACGAGAAGCAGCACGACGCCGATCAGCCAACTGCACCAACGAAAAGATCAGTCAAATGACGACGATGCACTGGCGAAGAATAACAGTGGGTTCACTATGAAGCAGGCGATCACAAATGACGGAGATGGGACATGATTTCGGTGAGAAGGTTGACTGGGAGCGAACGCAGTGAGCAAGCAATTTGATGATCAGGGAGATTGTCAAGCAAAGTGGAGTCCGTGACTACGTGCGAGACATCTCTCCTGTAGAGGCGGGCGCGGATCGCTAGCCGTATCCCACGAGCTTTCACATCTTGAATGTCTGCTACGACTTTGAAGGATTGGTAAGTTGTACACATGATGAACACGCGTGTTCGTGATCTTCGCCCCCACCTCAAACCAGAAACTCCGAAACCACTCATCCCAATCCATCGCCTAAGCATGCTTGCCCCAACATACGATCTAAGGAGCAGTGAGCAACTTAGAACGACACCACCATTTCGTCGACAACCAATCCAGGCGGTGCACTAATCCTCAGCGAGATCATGTCAGGGTAGGGGTGGCAGCTCGACAGAATCAGTGCATTGTCAAAGTCAGTTGAAGCTCCCCTGCACAGGGGTCGCCAAATCGGTTCAAGCCGAGATGGCCCCCCGGCTAGCCCCACCATCCATCCACACTGGGCGACTGGTTCAAGCTCCAGGAGATGGATGAAGGGTTCTCAAGGTTCCTGGCGTGTCATGCACGATCTGCAGCCTCAACCAGCAGATCAGGGTTGATAGAGGCTAAGCTTTCTGTATGTTTTCAAAAAGTCCATGATGATGGTTTAGGGTTGCGAAATTCCCGGGTAGTTTTTCCGTCCGTTTCCGAGGCCCGGACAGAGTGGCTTGGCACGAAAATGAAAAACTAAGCCTAAGCTGCGGGTCGAAGGAAGACCAGAAAAGGATGCATAACACGGGAGGCTCCGAGTCAGCACTCCACATGCACTTTGTCCACTCCCTTCTCGTCTGTTCGAATTCGTGCACGAGGCTAGGGCCCCCGTAGAGGTGGCCTCGCATGTATGTGTTTAGGTTCGAAAGAAAGTGTCACCCAAAATCGTGTTGGCAAAGGGCGCCGTTCATGACCTACTTGGTGGGGGGGGCTCCATGTCAGAACCGAAGCCCATGATATCGCAGTCCTCCTCGCTGACAACATCCATGTCTTCACCGGGAGCTTCAAAAACGGGACTGGGAACCGAAGCATCAGGATGGAGCGGGACCACGGACTCATGGACAGAAGTTCCTAGAGCGTTCCGGCGACACGTCGATGACACTGTTGGCATTGGATTTGAGCTCATGAGACCACATCCTTGCCTTCTTGTGAACCCACTCCTCCGGTTCCTTTTTGACTTTTGGGGGTGTATGTGCGGAAGCAGAACCGGAAGCTGACATCATCATTTTGGAACTCAACACTCGCGAACAGCATGTCGATGACTGGTGGACCCAGTTTCAACAAACGACCAGTGTGTGGACAGACTTCCAACAGACGTTACAGCAGGAAAGCTTGAAACAGACGTCTTCGAAGATGAAGCGACCGGCATCCTGACACGAAAGAAGCCCGCCACTGGCCTTCGGAAAAAACCTGTTGCCAACATTGCCCAGTCCAAGGCCTCAAAAAATCCCCGCGAGTTTTCATAGCCGATGCGTCGTACCTCAACAAAACAAGGGCCGGCTCCTTATCCAGAACTGGACTCAAAGCCATGCTGAAACTGCTTGAGATTGCCTGAGCGAGGTGATTGGAGCATATTCCTCATCAGCATTCCTGCGGAATTGTTTGTATCTCATGCAATCATCACATTGACGCGCATGCACTTGTCTACCACAATAAATACTGTCGCATCGTTGAATCGTTGCTATCACCTGATGCTCAAGTTCTGCCGCATTGCTTTCCTAAGCACATGTCGCTCCGCAGTTGGCTCAAGCATTCTGACTTCGTAATCTCGCAAATTGCAGGGGCCGTATTCCGACCGCTACCTCCCTAAACCCGATACCCTAAATTTAGGGTTCTAGGGTTTAGTGGTTTAGCTTGGGGAACTTCTTCTCGTCGGGAGCCTCAGAAATTTCATCGCCGAGCTCAAGTCAAAGTCCTATGCAGAATGGTGCTAATAGAGGGTTTTTAATGCAATGCCCCCGTTCGCACTGCAGCTCCATAAGCCCACCTCCTAGAGGTGTGCACTTTGGGACAGCCTTATTAGCTAAGAAAGGGGCTTACAGAAGGGTTTAGGGTACAGGATTTAGGATATAAGGACTCCCCATCGAGCAGTCGAGCTCGCCGTTGTGATCCTGGAAAAATATCCTCCCACCCAGGAACCCTCAACATTAGGAAACCATTCTTTATGAATCTAGAACTTGGATCCTGCGCCTTGAACCCTACATCCTGAACCCGAAAGCTTAAGCTTTACACGCTAGTCAGCGGCCCTTAAACCGTTTGACACAGCCCCAGGCTACCCTTAAACCCTATGATACAGCCCCAGAATAGCCCTTAATCCCTGTGGCACAGC